TCAAGGTTTTAGGAAAGGGATGTAGTGATGTACAAAAGGGGTAACTTTTCTGTCAAAATTATTATTATTATTACAAAATGGTATTCAAAATGGTAAGGGATTGGGCCTCAGTCGGGGCGGAGCGGAGAGTTAATAGCACATTCCCAACATTGGCCGTGGCAAGTTAATGCTTAGTTTGCAATGTTTTCGAATGGTAGACCGTGAAGCATCACTGCACGAGAAACTTGATTTTTGTTTTTAGTACACACGTGAACCTTTATGCGAATGTGCTTACCCCTGATACAGTATTGCCCAAGGTATACTAATAGTACAGATATTTTGGAAAAGGACAATATTTGTGACGACAAATCTAAGCATTTAACACCGGCTACAAAAACTCGAACCCGTGGATCGCATGTTGAGCACACGAATAACGCTGTATTTAAGTATCATATTTTCCTAGAACTGTCAGAGAATGGACTAGTCTCCCAATTGATGTTGTAATCTCAGAATCTTTACAAATTTTTAAGTTTTAATTAAGCAGTTACTTACAAGTTTAATTGGTTAGATATCACTAGTGTTTTATATATATTTATGTTTTATTGCTATTATTACTATTATAATTATAATTATTATTATATTTATTTATTTGTATTAGTATTACTTTAATTGCATTTACAATATAGATAGGACCCTGCGCGCGCTCTGATTGGTCAAAACCCATGTTTTATTCAACAAATAAAGAAGCCCCGACTGCGCTCTGTTCTGTTGTAAAGCACGCAGGAAGCGGTAGAGCACGAAAGAAGTGTAGGGGAAAACACGAGACGTAGTCGAGTGTTTTTCCCTACTTCTTGAGTGCTCTACCGCTTCCTAAGTGCTTTACAACAGAACAGAGCACAGTCGAGGCTTCTTTATTTGTTTTATGATGAAGAATCAGATAATTTCCCCACGCATTCGACTGAATTTTCAAACCAAACTTTATTTTCCAAACGAGCAAAAGTCGCGTCAGCCGTTCACTGTTCTCTGATAAAGCACGCTAAAATAAGCCAATCACAAT